ATTTTGCCATGATATAGGACTGTTTTAAGTTGGTTTGGACACACCATGCATGCTTTGCACACTTGTCATGTAATGCCATGAAATTGCCTTAACATGCAACTAGCATTTAGACAACTATGCTTACTTGTTTTGGCTTAGCTTTGTGACGCTTTTATGCATGTTTTGATGTGCTTGAGCTCTGTTTTTGGTTGTTTGGGCCATCCATGGCTTGCTTTGTATATCTACCATGCAATCTCCATTGTAGGCCTTGAGTGTTGACCCCTCTAGCATGCTTTACTTGCTTTGTTTCAGTGGTTTGGAACCACTTATCATGTCATTTTAGTCCTTATAGCATGCTTGTATGCTTGCATTTGATGCTCTTTTAATGCTTTAAAAGGTTGGTGTTTCATGCTCCATGTTTGTGCCATTGTGTATGCTTCTAGGAGTAGATCATTTAGATGCCATCTAAGTGGTTTTTGGGGCTTACTTTGGCATGATTTAGGACTGTTTTGATTCACTTTAGTCATGTGCTTCACGTGTCACACGACCATAGTTTAAGTCCTTGGGCTTGGTTGCATGCCTTGCTTGTATTGGTAGGTTGATTTGGCATCACCTCCTACATGTTTTCAAAGCTTATCATGTATGCTATTTGTCCATGTTAAGTGTGCTTAAAAGTCCCCTCTTTGTGCCTAAGTGTTGGACCATGTTTGCATGCATGTTTGTATGCGCATTTGCCCCTGATTTCCTTGGCATTTGGCCACTGTTTTGGGCTTATTTGTGATCTACCCAAACTAGTTTAAGACCATCCTCTGCACGTTGTTGCATGCTCGCCTTGTGTGTTGTTGCATGCTTGGCCTATCGCATGTTGTTGCATGCTTGAAACACTTTGTATTTGACATGCATTCTCTTGGTTAAGTTGCTTAACATGTTGTCACATGTCTTGCATACTTATATGTCCACATTGCATCTTGTATGCTTGTCATTAGCATAGTTGTTCCATGTCTTGCATGCTTGTTTTCTTAGGTTGCGTGCCTATTGCATGTTTGTCCACATGTTCATGTTACATACTTAGGTCACATGCCTAGGTTGCATTTTGCATGCATGCCTTGCCTCTTGAATCACCATAACAGAGGTTGGGTCCCTTGTTTGTTTTGTGTGCATTACATTTGACATTAAAATGCACACCTTGGCCTCTTTAGCCATCAAGCATTGAAATGCGTGATTGGTGGCCCGAGGGTCAAGGACCATCCTTCTTTGAGTCATGAACATGATAAGGAGGGTCTTTGTGCACACATTTGCTTGAAATGTATTGCCATGCCATGTTTGTCCTCTGCTGTTGTCAAGACAGGATTCTGCAGGCATATATGGCCGGCCAACCATATATATTGCCGACCGACCAATGATGGATGGCCGAGAGTTGAATATTTGGTCGATGACCCTTCTACCATGGTCAGTGATGTTTCCCCTTGGTCGGTGATGCTCCACAGTGTTCAGAGAGTGTTCCTTGGGACTTGTGCAATTTTCAGAAGAGCAGAGCAGGGTAAACAGAGGCAGCTTGTGCATGGTGACAGATTTTCGAGCAAACCCGAGCACGCATGCATTGGACCCTCTTCTCGAGGCTGTTTTATTGCCTTCTTAGCTTAGTTAATTTGCTTAACTAGTTAGGTGGTCTGTAATAATTAATTAGCTTGTAGGTTAATTAATTTGTATTATTCTTTTGGTCCCTCCGAGCGCGGGCGAATGTGTAATAAGTGTGGGTATGTGTGTGCATGTCTTCCAACCCCTATTTCTTTCTCCCTTTTACTTACCTGCATTTGATGGTTAGTACTAGGGCATATTTAATTTAGCATACCTTATGCTATGCATGCGTGCATTCATTCATCAGTATTGCATGCACTGGGCTCGGCGCATCATGTTAACTACATAGCATTTCAAATCTAACTTGCATACATGTTACTTGTTGCATTTCACATGCCATCCTAGGATTAGCCAAGCCTATTCTAGATTGCATTTTGCCTATGATGCATTATCCATTTAACATGAACTTGGATTATACGTTTGATTGCTAACATGTTCTTTGTTTTGGCTCGGAGTACGCTGTAAGTATTTATGCTTTAGCATCTCGCATGAATGTGAATGTTAACATGACAGCATGCTTACCATGTGGCTATGTGCTTATGTGATATTACTGCCTGAATGCCTGTGGGTGAAGGTTGGATTGCTTGAGTTGGAACAACTCGTTGAAATCCGTATACTGCGAGTAGCAATTTTTTCAAAGCGCATTTTTGAACAACGAATATGCAATGTTTTGTTCCAAATTAGGCGATCTAGTCTATACTTTTGTGTTGTGCGCATCACATAGTAAGATTAGGCTAATAACCGGTTTAAGAACACATAACGTTTTCAAAACTAGATATCATGGTTAGTAGAGGTCGATCTTCGGATCGGGCGAGCGGGGGTCCTCATAACTGACCTTCCCCAATCGTACTCAAGTTCCCGAGCCGAGACAACTTTGGTGATGACGGACACGTGGCCTTAAGCAATGAGTCAAGGTTTCCTAAATTTCTCCACAATAAAATATTTAGGTGGCGACTCTGTATCTGGCAAAGCAGTCCAGGTTTGGCACTTCTTTCTAAAAAATCAGTTTTCCAAAACGATTTGCCGGATTTGGACTCTTTGGTGATTTATCAATCTCACATTGCACATTGTGAGATCAGATTAAGAACCGACACACAAATCGAGTCCGAACTGTAGCATGGGGCCCAAGGGTGCGTCTACACCTAGCGTCATGCAAAGTGAGCCCGCACATCTATCCTAAGGATTGGATGTGGCTGAAGCGGAATTGTGGAAAAATCTCTTCCTCGCGCTAGGACTCCATTAAAGCTTGGAAGTCTTCAAAAGTGGGACATATCTCTTGTCTGCCAAAGCTAAAAAAATGAGTTATCGGATTCTAACACCTTGTCGTGGCATGGAGGAACGGAAAACGCAGCGGGGTGCGGCTCAGTGTGAATAGTGCATTTATTCCGAAGCCCCAGAAATTTAGCTTTTCCGAGCCATCCAAGTTAGCAATCCAATTTGTGAGGTTTTAGACAAGAAATGCTTCCATTTGGAGGAGAAACTGAGTTAGAATGAGGGAACCACGAAGCTGGAACCTTTATGGAGGATAAGGCACTATTTAGAGGACATGTGGCAAAAATTTGGAGGTCCCCAGCCACACTGGTCGGCTGACCACTTTTTCTGGTCGACCAGCCACATTTTCTGGTCTGCAGACCAGAAAAGTGGTCGGCAAGCTATTTTAGCTGGTCGGCAATGAACAAAAAGTGGTCTGCAGCCACTTCTAGTCTCCAGCGAAGAGTTCCTAGCCTTCCGATGTGTTGAGAGTGCTGAAGGTCTGAGTTTATTTCTGTTTCGGATGCGTCTAGTTGCTTTGTTTATCCAATATGCATTTGCTTATTGAGTTGTTAAGTTTTTCTTATCGAGTTGTTGCTCATTTGCTTATCGAGTTGTTACTCTTCGGTTATCGAGTTGTTGTTATTTGTTTATCGAGTTGTTGCTCTTTGCTTAATGAGTTGTTATAATTTGTTTATCGAATTGTTCTTTAAGTTGTTTTGTTTGTTACATTGGTTCACTACCTGACTTGGCAATACATGAATGTTCAAATTCCATCAATCTCATTTTTGTGCAAAATGATGCGATGCGATGCTTAGAATACAAATGCAACACTTTTTGAACAAAAAGTTGTTTTCATTCCATTATGTTTTCTTTTTTTTTTTTACAACAGGGTACAAGTTTTTAGGAAAATAAAACTGCCTAACGCTGTACAATATGCTACAACTACTAGTAAAAAGAAAACAAAGAAAACCAACTGAGACGGTGCTATATGGCTCAAGATCGAGAGGCCCTCTTTACCCTCTTTGGCTGAGCAGCCTCTGTGCCACCGCCGTGGCACCTCCATCTGAATCGGAGCTGCCATCCTCGGAATCCTTCTCGACATCGTCTCCACCCTTAGAGCTTGAACCGGTGTCATCACCTTTGCCCGCAAATGTCTTTGACTGAGGGTGTGCTAACTCCTCATCCTCGCTGGACCCGTCATCATGTCTGGCCGGCGCTCGACGTCTCCCCCGGCCGCGTGTCAGGATCCCTCTCCCTACTACTCGGGAAGGCTTGGATGGCCCGGGCTGTAGAGGTGTGACCTGAAAAGGCAGTTTGAATACATCAGCGAGGGTATGTATATCAGATGCAAGTATAGTGCATGGAGTGAGTGCATGCAGATATAGTATGTGAATGTGATGTATCGGATGTGATCTACACATGTAGCGAATCAGTGCAGTGAAATGTCCAGTTTCGATATATCAGCAAGAGCGTGATAAATGCAAGGAAACTGGAAAGTACCAGGATGCTGTAGGAATACAGTATCGTCTCTCTCCTCAAAACCATAAACTCAAGTGTGGCCACCACCTCAAGCAACCCCTCAACATATCCTCTGGGAGGCTGCAGATGCAAGTTCAAGTCATCAGTGAATGAATGAATGTCTAAATATCTGAATGATAAATGAAGGCTGTGGAGCATACCGATGCTGAGTCACCCAGCATACTGCCAAGTGGGGGGCATCTCCCTAGTCCTGCCTCTTGATGTGCTGGCCCTGCCAGTCGAAGATATGTCTGTAGCTCTCGCGCGACTCGATGAAGGGATGTCAATGGCTCTCCTCATGGAGGTACGAACACCTGTCAGAGGGGGCATCAGGTATGTGTAGAGATATGTCGTATACTCCCCCTCCTCCAGGAAAAGGACTGCGTCAGCACCCTACATAAGGTTGCTAACCTTCCGGGGAGTGAGGCTCTCTGTGGTCCGCATATCTGATGGAGGCGGTGAAGGGATATCCTGAGCGGGATTACCCAATGTCTGGCACATGAAGCGCTCCCTGAGAAACCAGGCTCTGCCAACTGGTCCCTCAAACAAAATCCGGTATCGGGAGGCACCCCATGCCCCAGCAAGCTGGAACCGAGAAAGCCCTGGCATCACTATCCAAGGCTATCAGGTGATCTGCAGATAGCAAGTGCATAAATTGATTAGTTGTCATAAATATGCAAGATGAACAAAAGCTGAAAGCATGAAGAACTGAGAGTTCTGGGTTACCTCGGTCGCCCGTACTGTGTCGAAGTAATGCTTAAGATATGGTAGAGTCTCTCAGGGCCTAGGTCGGCATCGACCCTCAAACCTACGCAAGTACGGCACCATGAGTGGTGCCTTGACCTCTGGATCAGGGGCAAGCGTCGGGAAATAGGCGCATACCCACAGCTGTGAAAGGCAAGACAGTGGCAGTCAGAATACAAAATATACAGAAAAGGCAGAACGCTGAGTGTAGAATGTAGAGTACAGAATGTAATGTATGCAATGTGCAGAGTGTGCATTGTATAGGTAATGAAAAGCAGAAATGAAAATCAAGAGGGTAGAATGTACCTCCCAGGCTCTCCAATAGCCACCTACTATGATCCCCCGCCGGCGGGAGGTCGCGCTCATATAGCAGTAAAAGGTAGCAAGGCCAACGCCGTCCCAATCGAAGTGCCGGACCTGGGATAGGTCTACTAGAGCACTTAGAAGATATAGCCCGATCGTGTTCCCCCTGTTGGAGAACAATGTGGTTCCTAGAAGGAACATCAGAAATCCCTGGGCATACTGCTTTGTGGCCTCCACAGTGTCGGGCACGGTCCCTCTATACTGCTCGGTGAACCAGGCATATCTGACCATGCATGATGATTGGTAGATTGGGGGATGGGCTCTGAGAAGATAAGTCCAAGTTGCCTCCCACTCGTCCATATCGAAGTCATATGGGATCGGCTGACCTTCCACGTCGAGGCCCATCAGTATAGAAAAGTTATACGGGGTAATCGTCATGTCCCCAGTAGCTGAGAAATAGAAGAAGTTGGTGGTGTCCCACCATCTCCCTACTAATGCGCCCATGAGGGTCCTACTCACCTGAAGACGCGATAACCCCACGCAAAATGGGCCAAACCCTGCCTGATCAACGATATGTCGAACACCATCTGGGAGCTCCATGTACCACTCCCTCGCTATGATCGACCCATATCCCCGGGTGAAACAGGAAGCCACTTGCGTTCAGAATGAGCAGAAATACAGTGTGAGTTTTGTACAGAATGAGCAAAAATGCAGTGTGTCAGCTGTGTGCAGAATGAACAGATGTATTCAGTTTTAGGATGAACAGAAATACAGTGTGAGCTATGTGCAGAATGAACAGATGTATTCAGTTTTCGAATGAACAGAATGCTATGTGTGAGTTGTGTGCAGAATAAGCAGAAATGCAGTGTGCAACCTGTGTTCAGAATGAGCAGAATTGCAATGTGTGAATTGTGTTCAGGATGGGTAGAAGTGTTGTGTATATAAATGTGTTCAGAACGAGCAGATAAAACGCATAGCGAAAGCATGAAGTATGCAAGAAGTGCAAAATGCATCACAAAAAATGTAAAAGTGCAGTACGCACCTCGCGCGCGTGGTGAGACAGGTGAGACTCCGGCTCCCGTAGTAGCAAGTCTGCGGGTGCCCATTGCGCAAAATCTGTGAAATGATGAAAAGTGCTCGGTGGTAGTACGTGCTCCTGAGGGTGGTACCTCTCCGGGTCGAAAGGCCAAATCCTAGGCGGCAATGGCATGATGTCAGGCTCGTCCTTTACTCGCGGAGAACCTCCATCATGTGGGATGTGGTTAGCCATTTGAAAAAGGTGCAAAATGACCAAAAATGAGCGAAATGAGCTAAAATTGCCAAAAGTCAACAAAAGTCAGCTCTCGGGAAGAGAAAAAGTCAGCTCTCGGGGCATTGGAAAACGAAGCTCCGAAAAGAAATTCTGATCGGTTCAAAACGAAGAGAATCGAAAGTTTTCGCGAATCAACTTCGCGTGGGGCATTGGAAAACACGTGCAAAGCCCGGATCTGAGACGAAAAAGGGTCTAGGAAGGAAGAGGAGTGGATTTTGGCCTTGTGTTTGTGAGAAAATGTGTTTTGAAGTTGTGTACTTATAGGGCCGAGCCTCAAAAGACCAAACTGCCCCAGTTTTGCTAAACTGGTCGGCCAACCACTTAGGTGGTCTACAAGTGGTCTGGAGCTGGTTTAGGTGGTCAGAAACCCTCCTGGGTGGTCTTCAGGGTCCCATTGTCCTCCCTGAGTGTTTTCAGACTGGTTGGAGTCCTTGGCTCTCGAGAAAGTGCAAGAAGAACCCACTTTTCAGTTCAAAATGTTTCCGCGGAAGTTTCAACTCATGTCTTCGATGCGTAGCTCATCATCAGTTGGCATGCATGAGGTGTATCCTTTTTGAAATATATTGTAACCCCTCCGAGAGGTAAATCAGAGGTCACAACTAACTCGGTCTTTCCAAGACGCACATTTCTTCACTGAGCATAGTGCATCGAATATGCATTGATTATTGTGCACAGGATACGTATACACTTTTCAGTTGCATTGTTATGCACTTTTCAGTTGCATTGTTATACACGTTCTAGCTGCATTGTTATGCACGTTCCAGTTGCATTGTTATGCACACTTCACTTGCATTGTTATACACCTCTCCATTTGCGTTGTCACGCACATTCCACTTGCATTGTTATGCACACATTCCACTTCCGTTATCACGCACGTTCCAGTTCCATTGTTATACACCATTTTACTTGCATTGTCATGCACCTCTTCACCAGCGTTGTCACGCATGTTCCAGTTGCATTGTTATGCATGGTTCTAGTTTCATTATTATGCACTTTTCACTTGCATTGCTATGCACTGTTCTACTTGCATAGAACACCCCATTTGAAACAACTCTCAGACAAATAAAAATCCAAGAAAGGAGGGAGAGTGTGTAGACACCCCATTTTTGACCGACCTTAAGACTCAAACGTCATCGTTTGTGCACGTGATGATCGCACATGTTTGTGCTCGTTTTGAGTTTCCGGGGCTTTGACATTCACTCCCGCCACTTCTTGACTTCCGAGTTCTATCAAAGAGGGGCAACTGTAGAAACCCCATTTTTGACCGACCTTAAGACTCGGACGTCATCGATTGAGCGCTCGATGATCGCGCATGTTTGTGCTTGTTTCCAGTTTCTAGAGTTTTCGGCTGAGTGCCTTGCCTCCAGGCCTCTGAACTCTTCGTGTTTTGGCTTGGTTTGTGCACCATGCCTTGTTGACCTTGCCTGGAGGGAGAAAGAGGTCTGTAGGCCACTTTTTGTAGTCATAGACTACTTTTCCCTCTTGTAGGCTAGTTTTCAATTTCCGGAGCCTTCGGCCGAGCGCCTTGTCTTGGAACCTCTTAACGTTCTCCTCTTGGCCTGGTTTTTTGACCATGCCTTGTTGCCTTTGCCTAGAGGGAAACAGAGGTCTGTAGACCACTTTTTGTGGCTGTAGACCACCTTTCCCTCTCGTAGACAACTTTTTGTACCCGTAGACTAGTTTTCACGGCTCCCGGCTGCGTGCCTTGTCCCGCGGACTTTTGTCTTGCTTCCTTTTTGGTTTGGTTTTGAACCAAACCTTGTTTTCCTTGCTTGGAGAGTGGATTAAAGAGTGTAGACTAGTTTCTCTCCCTGAAGACCACTTTTCTTCCCTGCCAGCCAGTTTTCGGGTCGGCCAGCTACTCTTGGTGGTCTTTCGACCACCTAAAGTGGTCGGCAGCCATGCCACCACCCTCCACTCTTTGTGCAGCCAGCTTTCCCCCCTTGCTGACCACTTGTTGACCTTGCAGACGACTTTTTCTGGTCGGTCGACTAGTGGGAGTGGTCGGCCGACCACCTCAACTGGTCAGCATCTTTTCTGCTTTTTCTATAGATGTTTTGGTGCCAGCTGTGACAGTTGGTGAGCATAGAAAGCATTCTCCATACACATGTATGGAGGGATTGCTTGAAGCCCTTAGCTTGTTCAACAAGCTTCAAGCTTGCTTTTCTATATAAGGGAGCCTCCTCCCTCTTGCCTTAAGTTCAAAAAATTAGCTAAGGCTATACATATATCTATATCTTCATATTTCTCCCTCTTTCTCTATATTTGTTCCATTTTGTGCTTGAAAGTGTAGTTTCTTCACACTTTTGCACTAAAGCACCTACTCAAACACCACAATCTTGTTGCTGAGGTACCTGAGGGTCTTGCTTGGCCTCAAGAGTTGGTTTTAGCTCAGAAAATTTGCTGGAGTTGCTGCTTTGAAGTTGTTCTTCAAGGGTGAGTCTCTAGCCCCTTTTAGGCTTTGTTTTGCTTAAGCCTTTAGCCACCTTTGCATGCTTCTTTTGGCTTAACTTTAAACTGTAAAAAGCTTCATTTTCAAGTACTTAAAATGTTTTTTTGAGGCTTCTTTGGTTTTGGGGGTGGTCTACCCCCTTTTGTGCCTCGTTTTGCCTTGTTTTGAGCTATCCTTTTAGGCCCTTGAGATCACCTTCTCTTGGCCTTTTAGCCACTGAAATCCAATGGATTTTTAGTGGTAGAAAGTGTGTTTTGTGGTTCAAAATGGGAGGGGGTCATCCCCTCTCCTTGTGTCTTGGTTGCTTGCCTTGTTGGCCTCATGTTTGAGCTTGCTATTTTAGCATGTGTTGGCTTAGTCTCAGCCTATTTTTGGCCTTATTTCAATATGCCATACCTCTATTTTGGCTTAGTTTAGGCCACCCTTGCATGCTTTATACACTTGTAGTGTAATCCTTGCAAACTAGCCTCGTATGCTTAAGGTTTTAACATGTCATTCTAGCATGCTTTTGGCTCCACTCCAGGAAGCTTTCGCTCATGTTTTTCCATGGTTGAGTTTGTTTTAAATTGTTTTGATCATGCATGCCTTGCTTTGAGTTTCCAAGTCACTAGCATGTATTGCTTGGGCTATTTGCATGATTTAGCATCATTTGGTATGTGATTGCAGTGTGTGTAGTGTGGTCATACTCTCTCATACTTCACTCTTTCAATGCTTTTAGAGAGTCGTGATTTATGCCTTAAACATGCATCAATATGTATGCCATCTTGCCTAAGCTTTTGGGATGCCATCTCAGTGGGTTTTTGGTCTTATTTCGTCATGATACAACTCTGAGTTTTGTTGGTAAAGTCATCTCATGCTTGGTTTTGGTAGGTGTAGGGTAATCCTCCTCATTGGCCTTGCATGCTCCATGCTTCATGTCTCTAATTCTAGCATGTGTTGGCTCTACTACAACATGTTTTTGTCCTTGATTTGGCATGCTCTAGGACTGTTTTGGGTTGTCTTGGCCATATGGTTCATGTATTGCATGGTTGTAGTGCAATGGGCTTCACTAGCCTTGTGTTTTGATGCCTCTAACATGCTTTGTTTGAGATGTTTGCTTGCCATGACATCATTTAACATATTATTTCAGAGCATATTGCATTGCCATGTTCTCACTTCTTTCACTCTTTGAGTGCTTTTAAGAGTTGTGCCTTTGTGCCTCGTTTATGGGCCAATACGTATGCATGCTTGTCTAGGCTTTTGAGCTCCCATCCCAGCATGTTTTGGTCTTTGTTTTGACGTAATTGAGCTCGGTCTATGGCTGGTTCAATCATTTGTGCCATGCATTGCATGCCTCTTGTGCAGTTCCTTTTAGAAGCCTTGTGCCTTAGGCCCTCTTGCGTGCAATACTTGTGTGTTTATGTGATTTGGCATCATTTAACACCTGATTTCAGAGCATATAGCATTGCCATATCCTCATGCATATCACTCTTTGATTGTGTTTGAGAGTTGTGTTTCATACCTTATTCATGGGCCAATGCATGAGCATGCATTTTCTTGCTTTTAATGCTAGCATTTTGGCCACTGTTTTGGCATGCATGAGGTCTGTCCATAGTTGGTTTAAGTCCTTTGAGCATTGTATTACATGCCTCTTGTGAGATGCTCTTTATTAGCTTTGATACCTTATGCTTCTGAACTTGTCATGCTCATGTTGTTTGGAATGTTGTTAAATTGCATTGTGTTTGGATTGGACGTCAATCCAAACACGAGAAACGAGGGACGTTTCATACTTCAAGTGATGAAACGTGCCTCATTTCTCGGTCGTCGACCTCTTGATCATGCATGATAGAGGTGGAG